CGAAAAACTTTGTCAGTGCTCAGCAGAGCCCCTCTGCCCCGACAAGGTGGCGTGGAGGGGAAGGCTCTGTGGGGCCCAGGTGTGTCATCACGCCGGTGTTTCCTGGCTCTCGTCGGGCTCTTGTTGCTCCAGCCCTGGGCTTGCACCAGGACAGTGGTGACGAGTGAAGAGGAAGGGTTTGTTTCAGCGTCCTCTGGGCTTCTCTCGTAGCTGCTGCAGTGCGAGGCTTGTGATGCTGAGGGGTGTCCCTCAGAGGGCTCCTGGTTAGTCTCCCCTTTCATCCAGAGACCGTTTCTCCTGAGAACACCATGCAGCACCCACAGACCAGCACACTGGTGGCCTGCAGCTAGAAAGCAATTAGAAGAAAGCATCTAGCTCTGATAGTAGTGAATCACTGGGACAGTCTGGCTGGGGGAGCTCTGCCATCACCCTCACCAGCGGTTATTTTTAGCCCTGTGTGTCTGCAGCACTGAGTGCCACAGACCAGACGAGCCCAGCTGATTGCTCCAGCACCTCTCACCGAGGGTCTGACAGATCACAGGACTGGCCTGGGCTTTTTAACAGTCTGTTTCTGAAATGGCACCAGGAAGTGCTGCAATATGCCTTCATGATCAAAGGGACATGGCATGTATTTTTTTCATTTCTGCTTTTTTTAATTATTTGATCCAGTAATTAACAGGCTTGAGCTCTTGGCTATTTCAGTTGCAGATGGCTTGTGGTTTGCTTCTCACGACAGGATGAGCACAGGCCTGCAAGCCACACTATCTCAGTTCACATCATTCCCATTAGGAAGGACTAAGTAGATTTGATGAGCCAGCTGGCCCTGCTGCCACAGGGCAGTCCCGTTCCTGCTCACCCTTGTCCTGGAGCTGCCATCACCCATCACTGTTCTCCAACCCCTGTGCAGCCTCCTCATAGACACTGCACAGAAGGATGCGGGCAGCTCAAATGCAGGTTGTGTTCTGTAAAAACTCAATGATTTTACATGCTTATTTTATTTTAAAATTCCCAGCTCCACTCCAGACTCTTTCTAGGAAGATTGTACAGTCCAGGACCAATAGTACCTTAGTTGGAGTCTTTGCCATTATCCTGGTTTTTCTGTCTGCCTTTGTCAACATGGTATGTGTGTTATTTCCTTTTGATCCACTCGATTCTGCGTAGTTTTCTTATTGGTGCTGTGCAGCATCGTAACCCTTACAACCACTGGGTTTAATGTAATCCTGCCTAATGCTTACAGCATCTGAGGTCAGTTCCCTTTGGCTTTTTGGGCACAGAAAAGAAATGGGAGCCCAACAGCTGCATCCCTATAGTACATTATATGCCTTCCATGTTCTTTTCTTTCAATGCTTCTGCTCCAAGTACATAAGCCAAGTCTGAAGCGTACCCCTGCATGAAGGGCCAGCATGAAGCCGATGCGTCACTTACCTCCCACAACACTGAGTGGGACTTAAGTATTGCGTAGCCTTTGTGTTGGCCTTCTGCATGGTGCTGCATCCTGCTCCGAGGGCAGCAATCACCTAAGAGGGGCTGTGAAGACTTTGCTTTGAGTTGCACTTTGGGGACCAGGATGGTTTCACTTTGCATTCAAACGCCTCAGCTGGTTTCAGACTTGGCGAGAGACAGGCTGTTCTCCAGGACCCTGTGGCTGCTGGCTTCTCGCTTGTACAAATGGCTTGAAGGATGAATGTATTTTGAAGAAACCACTTGAATATTCTCTACCCTGCATGCATCTATTTAATTTTTTAAGAGAAGAGGAAAAAAAAAAGGAGAGGGTTGAAGCCCTGAGCTTGGAGGTAGCTACAAAGACTTCCCATGGCCCTCTGCTTCTTTTGGTTATGGCCTCGCTGGGGCAGTGCTGACCTGCACTGGCACGGAGAGGCTTAAACACCTAAAAATCAGACCACTGCTTGCTCTTGCCTCAGCTTTCCGTTGCTTCATTCCATTGCTACAGCCATTTCCAAGGGCCTTTTTAATCAATACAACCTATGTGGTTTCTTCTCTTTGCGTATACCTTTGCGTTTAATACCATCTTTTTTCTTCAGTTCATGTGCAGCACCGTGGACCTTGCCAGCTGCATGGCTGCAGAATACAACATCACTCCTGACCGGGTGGACATATGCCTTATCAGCAACCTGACTTCCAACTACAGCCTGGGCACCTTGCAGGGATTCTGTGACAGTCCTTTGCCCAACTGCAACTTTCCAGAGGTATGGCTTGAAAAACATGGGTTTCAGAGCTTGATCTGAGAAGGGGCTATAAAACCTGTGTGATAAATCTCAGTGATTCAGAGGAAAGCAAGGTTGCTCCTGACTGAATTTATACGACTGACACAGGCTACTACGCACAAACTTAAGTGTCTGAAGGTATTATCATAAGTCCATATTAATGTTTAAGTTCCCTCAGGGCTGAATAATTAGTAGGCTTTTATAATTGTTGGATCCTGCTTGTAACAGGAAAAATGGCCTTTCTCCATGAAGCCCTTAATGGCATGCAGAACTGCAAGTCATTCCAAAGGAGTTTGTGGGTGCTCAGCGTTGCTTGGAAATCAATTCACTTAAAATCAGTGTCTAGTCAGAGATTTAACTGTTCCCTCCATTGTTTTATGTCAAGATTAAAAACTTCACTTATATATTCTTTCACTAGGTATTGTAGGTTCTGGCCTCAGACGGGTTAGCAGCCCTGATAGTGATCTGCTTCAATTTGTAAATGCAAATCCTACCTCTTCAGAACAACTTGTTTAAAAAAAAAAATGCTTCTAATGGGAAAAAAAAAGTTTTACACACTGTTAGAATACTTTGCCAAAAAGATCAGCTTTTTGCATAGCTATTCAAGACCTTTCTGTGAGTTTTTAGGTCACAGCCATTGCGTGTGTTGTCTACTGGAAGATTAAAAGAAAAAAAAATCTGTCTAGGATGGGGGCAGAATTTTTGTCAAGGTCATCTGTGTTTATGGGGACCTGACAGATTTATGGCTGATCTGTTATCATCCAGATGTCCAAGGTGCTACTGAAAGCCCTGGTATCCT